AATATTTTTAATTTTATTGTTGCATAAACACGCGAGATATAATTGTTTCATATTTTATGCGTTCGAGTATCGTTCCATCGTTATAAAATTTGGTGACTCTAACGGCCGATTTTTGCGCCTGTTTCAAATAATTGTTGTTCCTTATTACTATGGATACAAAAATGCGACCCGTTTCTATTATTGACTATCGACCTCAACTGCTTCGACACAAAAATCGGCCCTTCTCAGAGTACCGCACCGGCGTTATGCCGTCCGTATATCCGTGTGACTCGCACACGATGACGCGTCACTCACACACTGCTGCTTGTGGATGAACCACGAGCAGCATGGAGTGGCGGAAATGGCTAGCGGTATGCTTGGAGAGGGAATAGTGGTGGGAGTCGCGGCGATCTTCCATCCTCTATCGCAGACGTAAAAGCGAAAGAGATAATATTATAAGACGTCGTGGACAGAAATACCGTCCTAAAATACATGACACACACTAAGAAAACGCTTGACTCACACTGTCTTGTCTATACGTGAGCAATACAGTCGCGGTGTCCCGACGATTGTTTCGCTCGCTCGAAAGTTCATGCATTTTTTCTTGTTAGCAAGAAAATTACTGTAATATAAAAGGAGATCTTGGGGAAGGGTTTTCAGGAGACTTTGACAAATGCTTCTTAATAGCTGCTCTTGAAAAAAAAAAAAAAATATTAGATTTATTTCAATATAGAATACTGAATCAATATAGAATACTGCAACAATACAGCGCTTGTATAGGTTGTCGAAGTAGAGTATGTTTAATTTTATTGTTGCACAAACAAGCGAGATATAATTATTTCATATTTTATGCGTTCAAATTCCATCGTTATAAAATTTAGTGGCCCTAAAAAGGGCCGATTTTTGCGCCTGTTTCAAATAATTATTGTTCCTTATTACTATGGATACAGAAATGCGGCCGTTTCTACTATCATCGTCCGCTTTTTTTCGTTCGTTGTTCGTGGGCAGAAAGCATGTTTATATATTGCATCGCATTGGTTGCATACTACGTTGAATATATATATCGACGCACGTGTCTACTTGAAAAACAACGAACAAAAGAAACAACTTTTTTTTCCTCCATTTTCTCATGTTCTAAGAAACGTGTGTACGCACAAGAAAATTCGCGCGTCGATATATATATATATATATATATATATATATATATATATATATATATATTCAACATAACATGCAACCAATGCGATGCAATACATAAAGATAAACAAATGTTCATTTGTGGAAACTGAGCAGACGCTTTTCTCTGAATCATATAAATACAACTCGCGAAAGGCGATTCATTCTCTTTCCTGACTTTCTGTAGGTGCGCATAAAGTCATGTATAGAAATTTGTGTCCCAAAGTGAGAGGTCGCATAGTTGGACAGTGGCAGTCTGGGAGATCAATAGCAGATATTGCTGCTGATATTCCCTGCTCTACGAAGACAGTTCGCAGATGGATACAGCAATTTACTGCAGATGGTGATCATGCATTGCATGATCATCGCAAGGAAAATCGCCGACCACGACGGACAACACAGCAACGAGACGAGGATATCATTGCTTCTGTACAGCAACGACCTTTTGGCACTGTTGCAGAAGTTCTCCATGCGGACATACAGGTATCGGACAAAGCCGCAAGACGACGACTAAACGAAGCTGGATATCGTTGTTATTATCCAGCCCATAAAATTTCGTTGACTCCTGAACATCGGGAGTAACGTGTCGCGTTTTCTTTAGAAAACCTGGCGACGAGCCGTGAAGAGTGGAAAGTCACGATCTGGACCGATGAAAAGGTCTTCGTATTGTGTATCGACCGTCAACTTCACGTTTGGCGATTAAGTGACCAAAGGTTGCATCCGAATCATGTTGTGCCTACTCACAGAAGTGGGAGGATTTCGTGTGCAATGTGGGGCTGGATTTCCGGTAACGCTATCGGTGAATTGGTCGACATCCCTACAAAGATGAACTCCGCGGAATACATTCGCATAATGGAAGAAGTTCTTCTTCCATCAGTGCGAACAATATATCCCGTGAAGGAAGTACCAATTATCCGATTAGTGCAGGATAATTCCGCTGTCCATACATCACGCGAAACACAAGCATGGTTTCGGAATCATCCCGAGATCCACTTAATCAAATGGCCTGCTCGTTCGCCAGATCTAAGTTTGATCGAAAATGTTTGGGTACAAATGGTTCAACGCTGGGAACCAAGAAGGAAAAGGACGGTAGCAGCGTTAGTCGATCATGCAAGAGAAGTCTGGGAAGAACTTCGACTTCAACCCAACTTTCTCGCGAACTTGATTGATTCGATACTTAATAGATTCAATCAAGTTATCGACCGTGCCGGATATTGGACTGACTATTGACTGACTATTGACTATCGACCTCAATTGCTTCGGCACAAAAATCGGCCCTTTTTAGGGCCACCAAATTTTATAACGAAGGAACTCGAATGCATGAAATATGAAATAATTATATCTCGCGTGTTTATGCAA